GACGCCGGCGAGGGTCGCCCTAGCGTGATCCGGCGAGGGCGACCCGCGCCGACGCCGGCGAGGGTCGCCCGATGCCGGATCCGCGAGGGCGACCCTCGGCGTCGGGCGAGGGCAAGACTGCCTGGCCGTGGCCTCGCTTGTCGCCGGCGAGGTCGGCCGCCCCTCGCCGGCCATGGGCAAAGCCGCCCTCGTCCAGCCCTTCACGGGCTTCGCTGGTGGCCGGCCGACCACCGACCGGCCGACGAGGGGAGAAAAGAAAAAAAAAAGAAAAGAAAAGAAAAAGGAAAGAAGAAAAAAAAAAGGAAAAAAAATATTTAAAATTAAAAATGCTGACTGTACACGCTGAAAAAAATTATTTAAAAAAATCTTGTACATGTCTGTGTATTTCCTCAGCCTCCGTGACCCACGTCGGCGTAAAAATTAATAAAAAATACCACGTCGGATTTCCAGCCAAATTGATACTAAAGTGATCTCTTTTTCACTTCATCACTTGGCGCAAAAGTGATCAAAAAAAAAGTTATGGCCTGGACCAAAGTGATCGCTCGTCATAAATTATGGCACTTTGTAGTGTACTTTTGCCGATATTTAATTGCTTGATTTAATAATAAAATTGAGCGTAACTTAATCATCATGCTGTTTTATTTCCTATTTCTCTATCCGTTAAAAAAAAACTTAATTGAAATAAAGTTCAGGAGAGAGAGAAAGCAATATTTAAGGTAATAACGAAGAAGAAAGGCGGGAGGATACCCCGTAAATAACAAGAGCCTTGCTGGAAGGTGGGCAACCGGTTGGACAGGTAGCTGTGATGTATATATACAATTACTTAAACAAAAAGGATATTGTAAGTCGATAACATGCACCGTGGACTCTCAATTTGGGAGCACAAAAAAATTAACCTTATTAAGAAAATATCAAGAAATCATTTTCTTTTTTTTCTAGAAAAAACTAGCACAAGAACCACCGCCATAGCCATCCTCTTGAATTGCATTGCCCAACATAGGAACTGAAAGGACTGACATTGATTTTTGAACCGAAAGTAGGAGAAACGCCCTTATCACTTTGTGAATCCCTCGTGGATTATCCGTTAAAAAAAAAACTTACTTTTTCAAGAAAATCATTTTCATGAGAAATGATTAAATTTTTGTATTTGGTTGTACTTTTTAAAAATCAGTTGAAAATCATTATCGAATATGCTCTTGAACTTTTTTGGACGAACGGACTCGGATTCAAGAGTCTAATTCTCGCGTTCACTTCTTACATAAAAAAGTTTAATCTAGAATTAGTAATCTATGCATAACGATGGACTTTGTTTCGTCAATTAGTACCCCTTGTCATTTTAGGTGAAGAAGAAAAGGAATAAACATTTAGTTTTCTTTTTTCAAAATATACAAACAAAGTGGCTTTCCTCCATATGTACGGTATTGAATATCTGACGTATGAATGACTGATGTTATATGCACCGACCATGGACTGATATCTGTAAACACTGAGAATGAAGTAGGGCTAAGCACGGGCCGGGTGAGTCGGCCTCAGTTCCTTTTTCGGCTTGGCCCGAATAGACCAAACCCGATTTGCAGGCACGTCCTAAATTTAAATAAAATAGTCCGGTCCATACTAGACCAGGCCGGTTCAGGCCTAGCCCAATTTTTTTTTGTTAAATTAAAAATAGACGAGTAGTTATATATTGGACCTCAAATTCACTTTGCTATATTTTTATTATATAACTTATTTATGAGTTTAGTAAAGTGTTTTGAATATAATTTATGCGTTTGTGATGATTAATTTTTACATCGGGCCATTTCGAGCTTGAGAAATGGCTCAGACCGCCTGAAAAAAATGGGGGGAATTTGAAATCCCAACTCGGGCCTATGCGAGCCGGAAAATTTGAATCAAGTTTGCGCTAATCCAAGCTTTCGATTTTTTTTTTTTCACCCCTAGAGCTAAGTGCCATGTGGAACAAAGTGTTACATCGTGAGTGCCACCTCCCAAATCTTGTAAGGGCAAAGTTTTACATGGTTGGAACTGCCTCTTGAACCCGTGGGAGCAACCTCTATAATCCTTCAAGTGTGACCACTTGGGATGTATCGGCAGAATTGAGTATATGGTATGCATCATCATAGATCATTTGTGTAATTTACAATTATTAGCATTTCTGATCCCTAGAAGATGTGGTCAATTACTTGCTCAGTCAGTGATAAGCATACTCAACATTGAGGCTAACTCATTAAGAGTGTTCGCAGGCTAGAATCGTACTATCTTATAACTGGGACACCTAGTGACATGTTGAAGTCCATTCGAGACACTACGCGATTCTGTTCATAGGAATATATCTACACGGTTTAGGATTAGAAGGATTGATTTCGTGGCTATAACATATAGATATAATGTTTAGCAAACATTTAAAGCGTACCTTATATTTACGTAAATTATATTAATGCCCAAGAAATCAATCCCACCACATCAAAAAGTAAGTGTAATATAAAGTATACCTACCACATTAAGTAATAAAAGGATATTTAATTGCTTGATTTAATAATAAAATTGAGCGTAACTTAATCATCATGCTGTTTTATTTCCTATTTCTCTATCCGTTAAAAAAAACTTAAATGAAATAATGGTAATGAAAAATAAGAAATATAGCATATTGATAAATAAATCCCTAAGTTGTAGCTAAGGCTTCTTATTTCCTGTTACTTTATATATAGTTTTATATATGATATTTTTGTAATGATTATACAAAAAGATAGTCTTGAGTTTTAACTTAGTCATTATAAAAATTGAACTAAAATTTCACCCAAAGCATATGTTACTAGATTAAGATTTCTGTATTCTAAAATAAAAATAAAATTAGATTTAAAAAAATAGTTTTCAAATTCTCTATTCTATTTTTTCCATCATACATTTGTTTTAACTGAATTTCAATTTTAAATTTAGATGCTACCATTTGTACATTTGACTTTAAGCATGTTCTTTATTTTTTATATTTAAATTTATAAAGAAATTTCTTTTTAACTATTTATGCATATGTCCAGCACATTCATAGAAATAACGCAAGTGGCAAAATTCTCAGTATCATAAGTGGTTATAGTTATATGCTAATACCGTAAATATAACATGTAAAAATACAAATATATGCCGATAAAAAAAAATATCCAAGTGTGCATGCGCAAAGCGCGGATTTTGTAACTAATTACAAATGAAATCAAAACTTCTATTTAAAGGGAATTATTTCCACTTATAAATAGGCATTAAATTTTGCAATTTACTCGTACTTCGACTAGCACATCAGTCACATAAGCATAATAGGCCGTTTCTAACGGTTGATAAACTTGGCTCACCCGTGCTGGAGCTGGATGGCGACGGCTCAACTTTGGTCCTAAATTAAAAATTCAAATAAAGAATAAATCTATCAAGATTTTCATAAAATCTTATAAATTATTTTTCAGCTTACACCACATCCCCCAACGTGGGATTTCTTTTGCCTAACACAACATTGACCATATTTGCAACAATATTTAGTTGGAATTTTCTTTTTCGCTTACAGCTCTAATCGATTGAGATTTTAAGTGAATGTGGATTCGACTGAATATCACAATGAGTTTGGACTTGGGTTCTTTCTTGATGATCTCCCCAAGTGAAGGTTCAGGTTTCTGTTGTGCATCCTCAACAAGTAATATCAGTGCCAATAATTTATTGATGGCCCATTGTCGAAGTGATATCAGTGTTGATAGTTAATTGGTGGCAGACTTCCAATATGTACCGGCGTCCGAAGATTATCTCAAGAGAGAATCTTGGATATGAATCCTTAATCTAGGTGATAGATATTGTCCCCTGGCTTCTTGCTGAACTTGATTGGGCCAAGACGATTGAGGAAAAGCCTGAAGGCATATGCCGTTACTCATGAACTCCAACATGTGCCAACCTTGGTCGGGTCAAGGAGAAGACTTGGGTTGAGATAAGGTTGGTGAGGAAGGAATACATGATTAAGGGGGAGGCCTCACACAGGAGGGTCACATGTGTGAGGAAGAGTTGATGAGGTGCACGTGTGAGGCACAAGAAGGTCCCACATCAGGAATGTGCCCGTAAGGTGAATCATATTAATATATTCAAGTTGAGATTTTTTCACAGGCTCACGCTTGAGCTCTTTCTTGGTGGTCTCCTCAAACAAATACATCAGGTTTGTGTTGCACCATCCCAACAGTCAAGATTTCTAGAGCTTTAGGTTAATCATTTCATCCACCAAGTCGTATCCAAGAATGGGGTATCGATTTCCATTAATGACTTTGCGAGCCTAAAACTCGTAATTAGGAATTGATAAACCGCAAATTGTGGCGTGTTCTGTGTGTCTAAAAACGCGATACAACACGAAATGAAAATATTCTTTATGTGGTTCTCCAAGCATATAGATCCTAGTGGGAACGAATATTCTAGCTATGATCCTATGACCTTTCAACAGCACTATAATAGGCGCCTATGGATTAAAATGATTGAAATCCAATACAAAGTTAGTCAATTTTGACTAGCGCTTATTGAGACCTAATCTATTTTTTTTGCCCAAGTTTATCGACACCTAGTTGATTAATTAGACGTAATATTCCTTACTCGGTCAACTAAAGGAGTTCAACTCATTGATACATAATATATATCGACGAATATACCACTAATTCCAAGTTATTAAATAATATTGGTCCCACATTTAAATCTTTTTGCCGTGGATGTATCAATCGATTCTATCAGATATAAATCTTATAAGCTTATCGAATAGAACTTATCTTTATGTGGTCGAGACGGCCATCGCCATGTACCGGCATCAATTGAAAGAGTTAATGGAATGAACTTGAGAGTGAAATGCGTCATAGAGAACATGCTTAGCTTCTCTTTCACAGTGTGAAGAGGCTTCAGAAGATCGCGATGTGCTTGAGAGCATGGAGCTGAGGAGATTAGATCAAGGATCGAAGTTCCTTCACTTGAAAGACAGAAATTGACAGAGAGAGAGAGAGTTATTGAAAGAGACTTACCTTCATCATTCATATGACTTTATTTAATTTTGGTGCATCTAAAGCTCTCGCCTCATCCTAATGGGGCGTTATTTTGACATGATAGTTCATCGTCCGACATACAAGGTTTTGCAAGTCAATAAGGCTTTTGGCCTCCAACGTTCCCGGGAGGATTGTAGTTACAAGTAACCAAAGTGCCGCCCGTCGCACACTGGGCCTTTGCGCATCCGAGCCGAACTGAGTTGCGCCACACCACCTGAGTGTAATGCCCGCAGACCTGCCCTGGCGCGCACGAGTTGGAGTTGTAGTCGTAGTAAGGCTTTTCCCCAACCCACATGTTCACCGCTCTTGTGCCGGTGAGATCAGGGGAAGCCCATGCGAGGTTCTCCCCGTAGGGTCCGCCCGAGTGGACTAGCCGCGTGCAATCCCTGGCATGCTTTTGGGCATAGTCCCTGGCATAGCCAGCCACTTGCTCGTCCCAAGTGATCTGGCCCACACCGACCTGAGAGCGAGCGGCATTGTGGGCCGCGACGTAGTCTTGGGGCAAGTCTTGGGCGACAGATAGGGGAATCAGCGCTAGGGTTAGTGCGACAAGGAAAAGGAGAGGAAGAGGCACACCCATATGGGAACTCATACCGTGAGAGACCATTAAATTTGCCAAATGAAAGATCTTAGTTGATTGGTGAAGAGATGGGCAATATCTATGGGGGTATTTATAAGGTGATCATGTGGAAAAATCTATCCATGGAAAAGTTGAATGTTCAAAATGGGCCACAAGAGTGCCCGTCAAATTGATTGATGATAATGTGATAATTTTCAGAATCTTTACAATCTTAATTATTGTACCACTGACTTCGTCTTCGTCTTCGTCTTCGTCTTATTATTATTATTATTATTTCTTTTTTATTTCAATTTTGGCTATAGAAATGATAGAGACTCCATCGATTCTTTACATGAACATTGGATATCTAATTAAAAGGTAAGCAGTTATCTTGAAACTCTTTTTCTCTCTTTCCACAAAGATTGTCGTCTCTTGGGTAAACGTTTTCTCTTCTCCCATACTTTTGACTGTATCTTTTGGCGTTTTCTGCTAAATTGGTTTCGCGTCTAAGTCAATTATAATTATGGAGTCAAGCACCAAAAGCTGAAAGATCAAGCTTGATGCATTCTCTATTTTTCTTTTTCTAACTTATGTTTGCACGAAAGCTGAATTTGGAAAATGTTAAACGCATGAGTAAGATTTTCATTTCGGGTTATAATTAGAAATTCATTAATTACTTCCGAAAATAATTATATGATTTGACAAAGCAATAGTCGGTAATTGAAATTATGGTGCCCGGATATTGAGGCTAGAGAAATGTAAAAATATACTAAGAGCATGCAATTAAATCCTCCCATCCATTCTTTGAGCCAGCAGTGGCAATATTGCACGTAAGTTCATTCATATGACGCAATAAGGTACAATTATTGGCCCAACCACATGGGCTATGTCTACTTTTATTAAAAAAAAATATTGACCTAAATAATAAATAAAATGGAAACATAAATAGAAAATAATGCCATATGGTACTTTACTTTAGATGAGTCATAAAGGACTTTTCTTTTTCGCCTCGTTTTCTCTTCTAATATTTACCAATTTTGTATCTCAAGGCAGACAAATAAATAAACATCTTAGCAATACAATTTTGATCAAATCAAAGCGCAAAATGGTCAAGCCTCAAATCTTTTGGCTGCTCACTGACGAGGCCCTAGAGCGTATTGTGCGAGCCTGTCACCGAAATTAAAATTTTAGCCAGACTCATCTATTTAATTGGTGCACCTGCGAGTTGCCAAGCCCATGATTAGGTCTACACTTAATCTAGATATTAACATCAATCGACACTTCTTTCGTAAGTCAATTATTAAATGTCTAAACAAAAGTTATAGATGAGGTATTTTGACGTTAATGCAAATTAATAAGAATTATAGAGGGAAAGGCGTGCCGCGATGCCACTTTACCATGCCCCAAAGTGGAGTTCTTCTCCTAATGATGCTTGCTTTGTAAATATATTGCCCTAGATCGAAAATTATTAAAAATTCTGGGAAAGAAAAAAGGAAGAAACGAAATATTATTAATAACTTGTTCTCCTTGCCGGAACTTTTCCATGCTTTACATGTCCCATTGTTCACACCGTCCGCAAATGGCTAGTGTATATATAAATTGTTCGTTTTGCGTAATCGAATATAAATATCAATAAATTTTAATTATTTTATCATCTTCAAAACATCGTAGGAGATTTTCTCAAAAAATACACGACGCGGTTTTGTCACATAGGCCACATTCGACTAATAAGCATTTAGATTAGTAACTTGTCATCTTCCAATTTCTATCGTTTAGATTTTATCTCTTATTAAGTTTAAACTTAAAAATGGATATATTAGAGAAAGTTCATGAGTTTTAGTTTTTGTGATACAACAACCAATCTAATAAAATAGATGAAGATATAATATCGTTGTAAAAATATACAATATTAAGTTTAAGTAAATCCATTTAGGATTTCAAGTACACAAGAGTTCTAATCTGTGATTCCACTTTCTTGTGACTATAGCAAGTGGAATCACATGCAGATTAGAACTCTTGTGATTCCACTTGCTATAGTCACAAGAAAGTGGAATCACAGATTAGAACTCTTGTGATTCCACTTTCTTGTGACTATAGCAAGTGGAATCACAAGAGTTCTAATCTGCATACTGAAAAGATTCCATTACCTCTGAATTGGAACCCACCGGCGATGAACTCCTTCAAAATCAACATCGATGGGGCATTTCATGAACATGCAACACAAGGAGCAGTAGCGACAATCCTCAGAGATGCGACTGGAACCTTGCTAGACGGCTTCGCTAGAACAATCCCGGCGTCTTCACCGTTGCACACAGAGCTACAGGCGATGTTGCACGCGCTTCATTTCTTCGCCTACTGGAGGAGCGAGCAAATAGTTCTGGAAACAGACTATCTCCAGATGGTAAACTTGCTGAATGACCAGAGTCAAGTCGGCTGGGAAGAAGAAGCTGTAGTTCACGAAGCCCTGCTCCGTATGGCCCAGTTCAGTAAATTAACCGTGGCCCATTGTAACAAATCCGCGAACCAAGCTGCTGATTGGATTGCCAAAGCGCATCGCAGAAATTCTCTGAATTTATTTTGGCTTGCCCGTCCCCCCCAACCGTTATGGGAGTTGTTATGTTTTGATGCCCCTCTGTCGGGTTGTAGTTTCAAGATCTCTTAAGTTTCAATGTATATCGTTCTATTTCGACCAAAAAAAAAAAGTACATCCTACTTCATTACATAAAAAATCTGACTAGTTTAAAGAAAAAGAAAACTCGTTTAGTTTAAATATCAATGTTCAGAATTTGTAGTATTATTTGTTACCCGTATAGATTTCACTTACTTTTAATGTATTTGAATAAAAGTAAAATAGAAAGTGCAGCATATACAATTAATTGAATAAGTTCCACTCTACTGATATTTGTTATTGATAAACATATTTTTCTGGATTAAAGCATAACTGATTCTATTTGAGTAATTTGATTTAGCATATTCTATGAATTTTAATAAACTTATATTTTATTCACAACACATCATTACGTTTATTATTTTTATTGTGAGGAAATCGAATGGCATACGAAATTCTTGTAACTTTAATAATACCCAAAAAAGTGATATTTATCTCGAATTCGCAGTATTTTTAAAGTAAAAAAATATTAAATTGCAACTTATTTAAAATAAAGAACATCTGGACTCTATTTGATTTTAATTTCTACTTCTAGAATAGACATAATTGAATACAGTTTCCATTTTTGTAAGTACGATATAGAAGCATGAAGATTCGTCTACCGGGCCTAGCTAAAATATTTAACAAGACCTAGCCCTGCACCTTGGTGTGTAGCTGTGTAAAATACAAATCAAAATGAAGAATACGAAGTATGATATGTTTAAGCATAAAAATAACTCAAACTTCTAAAAATTATTCATCAGTATTTTGAATAATCATACCATACGGACAAACTCACGAATCTGATATCATAAGCTATTATATTCTTTGTAATCTTTATACTGTCATAGTCTTGGATAATTTCATAGATATATAGAGTGCTTGACTTGAGAATCCATTTTAATAGTGGATTCGGCAAATGATCAATTTGGACAAACCTAACTATCTTGATCTTCTTTTTCCTATTGTGAACGTATTCTCTGACGTTTAGTGTCACGCCCGTACCCCACGAAGCGGGAGCATCCCACCTTCGGTCGATAAATTGCGACGTCCCGGAAGCGTCGCCGACCCATGCCCATACGAGAGATCAAGCACAAGCGAAGTATAAAACAAACAAACCCAGTGCAATTACAATATGAGCCAAGGATAGCCATCCAATAAACAACGATCAACGCAGAAAATATGTACATACTTATATTACTATTTTAAAACTCTTTTTACGTGTTCACGACAACAAAAAGGAAACACCAACAGTACTGGGAATAACCCAAACAGCCACTTCTCCGTTCCGCTCCATCCCTACCGGGTGCATGCTCGACGACCGCTTTGGATAAAAGGCGGTATTCCCAAAAAGAGGTGGTGCCCTCGACATTCTACGGCTGGGGTGCGAAATGTTTCGATTTACACAACCGTGAGACGAATCTCAATGAGTTCAACCCTAAACCTAGGCTAGGCTAGCATGCAATCTCCCGACCAGGAAACAAACATTTGAAATCATAACACAACCATAATCATACAATTCTTTGACCCCGCAGGTTAGATAGTTCAATATATAATAATCATGGGACATACGTGGCACACATTATCACACGTACGCCAATCACATGCTCATACACCGAGTCTCACACACTCGCATGCCATTCAATGCATGTTTATGCATGCAAATGTCATTGACATGTCATGCACATTTCTTTGGCCCACGGCCCACACCGGCACACTTGCCCAATTAATTATTATTACGACTCGAGTCATCAATTTTTCACGGCCCGGTGCGTCTAGCCTCGCTTCAAAGTGCATGAGGCGCATCCGATCTCGGCCCAGTCTCTAGCCTCGCTTCAAAGTGCATGAGGCGCAACACTTTTTCTCCTTGCGAACAGCAGCACCGCTTCAAAGTGCATGAGGATGGTCGCCTTCCGGACGTACCGGGCATCGTCCCGCTTCAAAGTGCATGAGGACGGTATCGACCCGAAGGTCCTTAGGTGATCACACGGCTCATTATTATCCGAACCCGCGTATAACGCTTCGGGTATTTTAGGTGATTACATGCTCATGGCAGACACGCATTCTCGCACAATTTTCATCACATGCCTCACTCTTGGCATACGCAATGCGTGTCCATGTTATGCAATGCAATGAACCACGAGCACCAATATAATTCGACAACCCGGCATACCCGGCAATTTCACCGATGAACTCCTAAATTGGTCATTAACCCCTATTATCCTCCCCAACGATTCTCATTAATCCACTAAATTTTTCCGATAATAAATTCTACTAATCGGTCCTCAACCCGGGTCTCAAATACACACGCTATTATCTAAGCCGCTCAAAAATGCACCGATAATACCTAAACCAAATCAGAAAACGCACTATCGCCCTAATCCGGGTTTAGAATTTTACTCACCAAAACAAGGGTCACGACGACGGAATGGCGGCCGATCACCGGTGAA